AGGATCCAGCAGCAGCACCAGCTGTTGGAATTCCAGGCTGTTTCTCGTTCGAAGGTCAGGGTGAATAAAACTCAGGAGACTTTTTTGAAGTTTATTATCTTTATTTATTACAAATTTACGAGATGTGAACTCTAACAAGTCGAGAAAGTGAGAGAAAATGGTGTTGTTTCAGCCTTAATTATTTCATAAACAGCTGATACCGGTATTATTTATGCTTCTAACCCAATTATGATTACTCAAAACCCACAACGTGAACATCTTTTACCTAATCAGAGAAAACGACTCAGATTCATGAAGAAGAAGGAAGAAGTTGTAAAAATGACACCCAAAATTTTCTACCTCAGCTTCCACACATTACTACACACTAAAATCTCAAATCTGAGGGGGTTTTTTTTGTTTGTTTTTACCTTGTGAGATCACAGCACAGATTTATTTCCCTGTCAGATTTATTTCCCTGTCAGATTTATTTTCCTTTCTCCCCCAGCTCCCCCCAACACTTTGAACTTTAACGGGGCCCATCGGAAGAGGAAGACTCTGGTTGCACCAGAAATCAACATTTCCCTGGACCAGAGCGAGGGCTCCATCCTCTCCGACGACTTCCTGGACACACCAGACGACCTGGACATCAACGTGGATGACATTGAAACTCCTGACGAGACCGATTCCCTCGAATTCCTGGGGAATGGGAACGAACTGGAATGGGAAGGTAAGAGGCTGGTTCTGGGCGAATATTTCCAGGGGTTGGGGTTTGGGGTGGTTTTTTTGCCTAATTTTTAAAAGATTTTTGACGCAATTCGCCACCAGCAGCTGAGGACTGAGAAGCAGAGGGAGATTTGAAAGTGATTTTGAAGTTGTTTCTATAATATTTGCAACAATTAATTTAATCTTGCAACAGAGCAGGATTAAAACTTGGGTTATACTCTTGTCGCTCTGATTCTTAAGATTTTTTTAAAGCCTTCTGAGTTTACATTCTGTGAGAAAACTTTCCCACACAATTTCCATAAACAACAAATTGTTTTGCATTCCCTCACGGGAGTGGAGGAAGTTGATGTACTGGTGGTTTGGCCAATGTGTTTGGAGAGGTGGCCCATTGACTCTCCAATCCACTGTCACCTTTGGAAAAGTATAAAAGTTGGAGTCAGAGAATAATTCTTCTTTTTTACCTCGCAAATAGCAAGTGGCTTTCACGTGTCCTATAGCAACAAACCCTTTCCTGAATGGTTAGACAAATTTACACAACATCATTTTTCAAACTTATTGCTGTGGGTCTCAGATTCAGTCAAAGAAAGAAACTGAGAATTTCTAGCCAGTCAAAAGCCTGGGAAAGAGTTGGGAAAGAATGGAAATAATTCTTTATCTCTCTTGTTATTCACACTGTTTATAGTTAAGTTCTATCACTGTGCATCAAGCACTCTGCACCAATGCTTTGGGTTGTTTTCACTTCAGGACCAATGGATTTGATCCTTGCAAAGCTCTGTATAAAGAGCAGTGTATTTTGAATAAATCAGAGTTTTACTCTCAGGAGTTGGTCCTCACGAAGTTCTGTATAAAAGAGCAGTGTATTTTGAATAAATCGGAGTTTTACACTCAGGAGTTGATCCTCACGAAGCTCTGTATAAAAGAGCAGTGTATTTTGAATAAAACAGAGTTTTACACTCAGCAGCCTTCTGGTCAGAGTCTTCTCATTCCCGTCCCGCCTTGACATCGACATATTGCAACTATTTTCATGTGTTAATAAAAGAAAATCGATGAATAAATCCACACAGGAGGTGAAACACGATCCGAGCATCACCCCTGGGCTTCCCAAAGCCTTTCCCAATTTTTCCTGAAGGCCGAACTCTCTGTCCCTTTCCCAGATGACACCCCCGTGGCCACGGCCAAGAACATGCCCGGGGACAGCGCAGACCTCTTCGGGGACGGGGGCACCGAGGATGGCAGTGCCACCAACGGCCGGCTCTGGAGAACCGTCATCATCGGCGAGCAGGAGCACCGGATCGACCTCCAGATGATCAAACCCTACATGAGGGTGGTGACACACGGCGGTGAGGCCACAGCCCCTCTGTGCCTTTGTCCCACGCTGGAGGGGACGCCGAGCCTGGCTGGACCCTGTTTGGGGGGAAAATATTTGGGTTTTTGGGTGCCTTTGCGTGGCAGAGAAGCACAGAAGTGCTCAGGTGGTGCTAAAAATGTTCAGCGATTGTGGAGTTAACATCTGGAGGGGCTGTGCCAGTCCCTGAGATGCTCCAGGGTCCACACATGGGCAGTCAGATCTATTTCCAAGGAACAAGCCAGCTTGAAAACCCCCAGATCCCTGCTCTGAACCCCAAACCCAGATTGTAACCAGAACCAGGAGGAAATCTCACAGTGAAAGATGTCTGAAGAGAGAAACGCTCCCCTGGAGCTGAGCAGAGACACAAAAACCACCCCAGGGCCAAATTTCAGTGCTGTTTTCCCCTCAACTGCCACATTTTTCCC